CAAGGTAACCATTAAGAACACGTACCCTATCCCTTTGATTGCTGACTTGTTTGATCAACTTGGTAGAGCTTGACATTTCTCTAAACTAGACTTAAGATCTGGCTACTACCAAGTAAGGATAGCAGTTGGGGATGAGCCAAAGACTACTTGCACTACTCGATATGGCACATTTGAGTTCTTAGTAATACCATTTAGCCTCACCAATGCCCCAGCCACGTTTTGCACTCTCATGAACAAGATCTTTCATCCTTACTTAGTACGATTCGTAGTGGTCTACTTGGATGATATTGTGGTCTATAGCAACACTGTGGAAGACCATGTAGATCATCTACGAACGGTGTTTAAAATGCTAAAAGATAATGAGCTCTATGTGAAGAAGGATAAGTGCTCCTTTGCAACAAATGAGGTGTCATTCTTGGGGCACAAGATTAAGGACGGGATGCTTATGATGGAAGAAGACAAGATGCGGGCTATACAAGAATGGGAGGCTCCTACCAAGGTGATAGAGCTAAGGTCATTCCTTGGCCTTGTCAATTATTATCAGCGGTTCATCAAGGGATATTCAGCAAGGGCAGCACCACTCACAGACCTCCTAAAGAAGAACAAGGCATGGGAATGGTCAAAAGAATGCCAAGATGTGCCTTTAAAGACTTGAAGAAGGCAGTGACAGAAGAGCCAGTATTGGGGCTACTAGACCACACCAAGCCTTATGAGGTACACACAGATGCTTCTGACTTTGCCATTGGAGGTGTGCTCATGCAGGATAGGCATCCTATTGCCTATGAAAGTCGCAAGCTTAATGACACCGAGCGAAGGTACACGGTGCAAGAAAAGGAGATGACGGCTATTATCCATTGCTTGTGCACATGGAGGCACTACCTACTGGGTTCAAAGTTTGTAGTCAAAATAGATAATGTTGCCACTAGCTATTTCCAGTCCCAGAAGAAGTTAAGCCCAAAACAAGCTAGATAGCAAGACTTCTTGGCTGAATTCGACTACATCTTGGAGTACAAGCCAGGGAAGGTGAACCTTGTGGCGGATGCATTAAGTCGCAAGGCAGAATTGTCTGATATGAGTAGCAGACCTCAAGGTGAATTGATTGAACTCATCAAAGAAAGGTTGCAACATGATCCTCTTGCCAAGAGTCTAAGTGGGTTGGCAAAAGAGGGAAGGACTAAACGCTTTTGGGTAGAGGATGGCCTACTCTACACAAAGGGGAAACGACTCTATGTTCCAAATTGGGGTAACCTACGGAGGAATCTAATAAAGGAATGCCACGATATAAAATGGGCAGGCCACCTAGGACAAAGGCGTACAAGAGCAATGCTAGAATCCACTTACTATTGGCCAAGGATGCGAGATGATGTGGAGGCATACGTGAAGACCTGTCTTGTGTGTCAACAAGACAAGGTAGAGCAACATGCTAGAATCCACTTACTATTGGCCAAGGATGCGAGATGATGTGGAGGTATACGTGAAGACCTGTCTTGTGTGTCAACAAGACAAGGTAGAGCAACAAGCACCTGGAGGTTTGCTAGAGGCATTGCCTATAGCTGAGAAGCCTTGGGAGAGTGTCACCATGGACTTCATCTTAGCCTTGCCTAAGTCAGAAGGGTGCGGCTCTATTATGGTGGTAGTTGACAGGTTTTCTAAGTATGCCACATTCATAGCAGCACCAACAGATTGCATAGCAGAGGAGGTGGCTCGGTTATTCACAAAACACGTGGTGAAATATTGGGGTGTGCCAAGGTCCATCATTAGTGACCGGGACCCTCGCTTTACAGGAAGGTTTTGGACGGAGCTATTCAAGATCCTAGGGTCAAAGTTACACTTCTCTACAAGATTTCACTCGCAAATTGATGGCCAAACAGAACAGGTGAATGCCTTGCTGGAGCTATACTTAAGGCACTTTGTTAGTGCCAATCAGCGAGATTAGGCTAAGTTACTGGATGTAGCCCAATTCTCTTACAACTTGCAACGAAGTGAGTCCACCAGTCACAGCCCATTCGAGCTAGCTATTGGGCAACAACCACTAACGCCGCACACGGTGATATCTGGCTATACAGGAAGGAGTCCTGCAGCATTCAAGTTTGCTAAAGGATGGAAAGAGCAAGCCGATGTGGCACGAACTTATTTGGACAAGGCGTCTAAGAAAATGAAGAAATGGGCTGACAAAAAGAGACGAGCGGTGGAATTCCAAGTGGGGGACTTGGTACTTGCCAAGCTACTACCACAGCAATTCAAGTCCCTAAGTAAGGTGCACAAAGGGCTAGTAAGGAAGTATGAAGGCCTTTTCCCTATTACAAAGAAGGTAGGCAAAGTTTCCTAGCAAGTTCAGCTACCCCCAAAACTCAAGATCCATCCCGTCTTCCATGTAAGCTACTTAAAGCCCTATCATGCTGACACGGAGGATCCAAGTCGCGGAAAGTCATCAAGGGCACCAACGGCGGTCGTAACCTCATATGACAAAGAAGCCGAATACATGATGGCTGATCGGATTATTAGAAGACGAGGAGTACCTCTTTGCATTGAATACCTAGTTAAATGGAAGGGACTACCCGAAAACGATGCTAGCTGGGAACCAGCCGATGCTTTATGGCAGTTCAAAGAACACATACAAAAGTTCCGCGAGTAGGACGCGACGAGGACGTCGCTAGCATAAGTGGGAGAGAAATATCACATCCTTACAAAATTCTCCAAAATATCTAGAAGGGAGCATGCAAGGGAGTGAGGTTAACAGAAGAATCTAGAACTCCCTAGAAACCCTAGCACATATGAAGACTATGGAGGATTTTAGAAGGACCTAGCAAATTCAAGAACCTATACACTTGTAAATATAATTAGATATTTGTATAGATAGTTCTAGAAGGCATTCTAGAACATTCTTGTAGCTTGTAAAGAAGCCTTTCATGAGAAGCTTCTACATGATGTATTCTTGAGAATTCTAGAAAGCTCCTAGGGAGCCTATAATAGGAGAGGAGCTCATTTGCTCCAATCCAACCAAGAATTGTTAAGCTTTCTCCCAAAGTGAATACAAGACATTTTCTCAAACTCTCTTGTATTCTTCTAACTTCTCTTTCTTACAAGTTTGTGAGTTAGGTTGACTTAACATCATCAAGTAAGACTTGAGATTGTCTAAGTGCTGCACGGATAGCTCAACCAAGGCTGTGACAAATTGCTCTGGCGCGGTAACAGTATATGCGCGCCCTTGTGGCCTTTGATCAACCTGCTCATCTCTCAGAGCATAGGCTTGTTGTACTGACTGAGCCAAAGCGGCTCCCTGATTAACTCGCGAAGTCTGAACTGAGTGAGCCTGCTGGTGGCTCTGAGTTTGCCTCGACCCCGATACGCCTGATGCGCCTCCCAACTGTGGGCAAGCTCTCTTCATGTGCCCTGACTGCCCGCACTGATAGTAAGTAAGCCCTTGCCCTTTACTTTGAGATTGACTCTGAGATCGGTTAGGTGGTGGTGGTGGCAACATCTGTTGTCCTCCTCCCTTCTGTGGACATGCAAAGGCCTTATGACTCGGTTGGCCACATTTGAAGCAAGAAAACCCACTCGATGCACTCTTCCCCGAACTTGCACTAGGCAAGGGAAAGGTAGATCTAGACTGTTGTGGTTGAGACTGCGATGAAAAGGTGTTTCTGCTCTTCTTGTTGGGCCTATAGTCCCTTTACAACCTTTGGCCCCTAGACCTCGAACTCCGAAGTCTCTCCTCCTCGGCCTCCATGGTAATCTCTACATGCGCGGCCGCCTCCACAAGACGGTCATAATTTCGAATCATGTTCCCATCAACCTTGAACAAGATCTTAGTCCTCAACTTCTTCTCAAACTCAATGAATCTACGCTCCTCAGTCGCCACCAACTCAGGTGCAAACCTAGATAAACTGGTAAAGGTGGCCTCAAACTCGGCCACTGGTGTATTCAGCTGCTTAAGCCGACAGAACTGATCTCTCAACTTTTCCCTAATAGTGGGAGGCAAAAATTTCTCCCAAAAAGCATCAACGAAAGCCTCACAACTCCCTCCAATACGTCCTCGTACAAACTTCCACCGCTGACCCGCGTCTCCCTTCAACTGGAAGGATGCTAAGGTCACTCTCAAGCCTCCGTCTTCGATGCTTAGCATCTCAAACGTCATCGTCATCTGTTCAAGCCACTCATCAGCCTTCCGTGGCTTTTTTAGATCACCCAAAAACTCGTCCGGATTCGACCGGAAAAACTCCCTCTTTAGAAAAGACGGCCCTGCCTCAGCTACATGGGCCTAGACTTGATTCTTAGCCCTGAGAATGTCCATGGATTCCCTCAATGCTCCTACCATCTCGTGGGCTCAGGCGTCCATGGCCTGCTGTCCTACTGGCTCAGCCACGTTGGCCTGACCAACTACCTTCTCCTACCCCAGAATATCATCCGATATAGGCATCTCCTACCTCCTAAGCCGGTACTCCATGCACACCTTGGCGACCACGACCACGCCTTCCACCTCTACCACCACAAGGACGACCCTTTCCTGACATCCTAATTGAGAATCAAGATAAACAATTTAGCACATAATTCCAAATGTGCTCACAACTTGCCTCACACGTTAAACTATAACAATTATATATATTCTACCACACCAACAATTCAATTCATTCCACATAAGCACTTAGTCACGTAAGCACTTACAAATTATTCTTTTGTGATGAGATTCGTCCCACGAAAAACCAAGAATTCTTAGTAGAACGAGTATTGATCAAGTACCCTTCTAATAAGATCTCAAGGAATCTAATAGGCGCAAATAACATCCCAAAAGTCCAATCCCATACCCATATAGTCACATAGTCACGAAAAACAAAACATTTCCTAATTATGCGAAAATGAACCCATTGTAGCAAAACAACCACTTCCTGCGAACCCCAAGTATTCAAACCCGGTAGCTCTGATACCAAGTTGTAACGCCCCAAAAATATACATACCATTTCAATATATTATTAATCATGGCTCATAAGAGATGCCGGAAATATATATATTCAACATGTTCTATTACATAACTCAAATGTTTATACAAGTGATCTCACATGCGATTATACATTCATTGAAAATTGGTACATGAATCTAGAGCATGTAAAATCATTTAACCAAAACTAATAAAGGCCCTCAAGGGCTTACAAGTTCCAATGCATAAGCCCGGTTATACAAAATGGTCTCTTGGACCCATACATGATTAGCCCTTGGCTTACAAAAAATTACTATCACAACAAAGAGCCTTGTGCTTTGAAAACATATTCCCATGCCCTAATTTGGTAGGTTCACCACGTCCTTTCCTGCACCAAAACCCATAGGGGTGAGCATAAAGCCTAGTAGAGAATTCTTAACAAAGTATATACATTTATGCGATGTTCCCAATATTGAATGAAAATGCCATGCATTGTCAATAAAAGAATTTCATTTACATGTCTTTTATTTTGAAAGAATTACCATGTTCAACATTAGCCTGAGATTTCAATGATTTCAAACTCACAATTCATTTCAATGGGGTGGTAAATATGACTCAGGTAATCCCTAGGTTGGTGTCTGCAAGTAGGCTTAACAAGCACTACCAATAACCCCACTTTACTGGTTGCTAACCGGAAGGAAAGTGGTACCTCCTTTGCGCGTATTTTCTGTCTTTCACACCGGACGCTCAGGCCAACTTATCAATTTCATCTACACCCCCTAACCGGACTTACCAACGTATTTACCCCAAAACAATTCCATAATTCTCATTTCAAAATATTTCTTCCTCAAAGTAGTCATTTTTCCAAACTTAATTCAAAATACATTATAATCAATTGTACTAGCGTTCACCCGTACTATGCACGGAATAAATATTTTTTATCGATATATATTATACTCTTTTTTTTTTAAATCATTTTGTTTCTCTTATATAAAACTCTTGATTTAACTCACTTTTTAGAAAATTAAGTTTTTATTTTTTAGTAATTTTTTTAATATTTTACTTAGTTTTTTAAAATTTTCTAGATATACTTAATCTAGATACACTTAAAAAGTATAATATTTATATATAAAAAAAACTTTTAAAAAATTCACCAAATACACACACACAAAAAAAAAAAAAGAAAAAAGAAATTCAATACATTTTCGCATTTTGTTGTATTCAATAAATCTTTTAAAAGTTTTTGTACAAATAAATCTTTCAAAGGTTTTTGTACAAATTTTATACCTTTTAAGTATATCAAGATTAAGTGGATCTAAAAAATAAAAATAAAAATATTTAAAAAATCACTGAAAATATAAAAATACGTATTGAAAATTCAAAAACTATTTTTGAAAACTCCAAACCAAATAGAGTATTATTTGTAAATTTAAAATAAAAATAAAAATACAAATTTAAAAGTTGTGTAAAATTATAAATTTTTTTTTTTTAAAAAAAAATTATGAGTTTAATGCACAAATGACTTAATACCTGTTATGATTTTATAATATACACAAAATTAATTAATTTCCCCTTACTCCACCCAAGATAAATTTAGTTGTATTATGTGTAAAATTATTGATTTTATTTTTCATAACATAAAATAAAAATAAAACTAATATGTATTGTTAATATAATGGTAAACTCGCATTATCTTATTGGTGGAACACTGCAAATACCTATCAAAATATACTTTTAACCATCTTAAACTTTATTTTTTATTGAATTATTTATCCACTAAAATCATAAACAAAATATAGTATTAAATTTAATAGATTCTTGAAATCCAAGAAATTAAAGAAGTAATGAAAATAATTAAATTTTAATCTTAAATTAAAAAATATAAAGAAAAACAAAAGAATTGAAATCATGTCTAATATGGTAGAATTTTCAATTCAAAACATAAAAAATATTTCCAATTTTCAAACCAAGTATGTACATATATATTTTGGATTTTGTAAAACAAAATAAAACATGAAAGATTAAAAATTTTGATTGGAACACTCATAGTACCATCTACAGTAGTACCGTTATAAACCATTTCCTACCATATCTCAAAGTAAGACATGTAAAAAAAAAAAAAAAAAAGAAGAACAATACTACTACCAAAAGAATTTATATGAACATAATTTAGATTACAATATGCCAAAAATCGAATGTATATGAACACTATTTAAATTCCTAATGCAAATCAAACTCATACTTTTCTCAATAAATACAAAAATGTGTCTTTGTGCAAGTGTATTCAAGGTATGTCAATAATAAAAGTACACCATTAATGAGAATAAACATAATGAATCTGCAAATTTGGGTTGAAATTCTCTTAAAACTTAAAAGATTTGTGGTTTCAAAATCTGCAGCTTCAGCAGCCCATGCGCATGTTATTCTAAGCTTGTAATTTTTGAACAGTAAGTGCAGCTGGATTTGTTAGACTGATCTGCCTATGTCTGCACGTAAAGTTATGGGTAAATTACTCTTGCTTTTTCTGCAATCTTTATAATGAAGATTCAAAATCACAAATGGTGCAATATTTATAGTCAAAATACAAAATCACAAATGGTTGGAACAAAAAATAAATTAGTAAAGCAAAAGAAAAAGAAGAATCGAGACATGCATTCGATCGAGAGGCGAACTACTGAATTCAGAGACTGCTGATGTTCACTGCTGAAGAAGGAAGTTAATGAAGTATATTTTAGATTTGTTTAACGTAGGAAAGTAACGTGGGAGAGGGATATGTATCTCTTGGATATGTATCTATTGTAAGAGTTGTGGAAGAGTGAAAGTTTTTATATCTATCTGTTATAAGGATATGGATAGATGGGTGTTTTTTGTTTTTAGATTTGTTTGAGGTGGGAGAGTAACGCGGGAGAGGGATATGTATCTATTGTAGGAGTTGTGGGAGAGTGAAAGTCTTGATTTTTTTTTTTGACAGCTTTTTATGGATATGTTTTGTTTGGTTTTTTTTTTTTTTTTTTTTGGTTTTTTGACAGCTTTTATGGATGGGGTTGTTGGGAGTTTTTATTATTCCGAAAATCTTTGAGAGGAGAGGAAATGAACTATAAACTAAAAAGAGAGCTGCCACGTATTTTTTAAAATTATGAGAATTTTAGAATAACATTTTGAAGGCTTTTGAAAACACCACTACATTCTATTATATATATAGTATAGATGAATGTGTAATGCAATGATGATCAACAATTCATAACAACTATCCCTTTTTAAGTACCCCAACAATAATACAATGGAAACCACATATCCCATTTTTCTTCTGAGAGGGAGATTTATGGTCTGGAATTGGGCCGAGGTAACGGCTGAGCAGGTTGAGAGCCTAATGGCGCATGGGGCCGAGATGACCGGCGACCTGCCCGCTGATGGGCTGCCAGGAATTGTGCCGGATAGAAATTGGGCCAAGCATGTGCCAACCAGACCGTAAAGAAGCTCGGCAAGGCAGTGCTCGGTTGGATCGAGCTGCTTGCAGGCAAAGGCGGAGCCAGTCAAGTTGAATGACCGGCGCCCAGAAAGGCGTGGCTAGCTGAGGTAATCATTTGATCGGCAGTAAGGCCGACCACAGGAGGTGCCTCGGGCTGGGCTTTGCCGAGATGCCGCCTAGCCCAGTCCTCCTTGGGCTTAGCCAGTGAAGTGCTTGGGTATGAAGTAAAGCACAGCACAGCAACAGATAGGGCAGCTCGGCTGCCGAGCTCCAGCTGTGAAGGCAGGCAGTTGAGATTAGGTGATGTTCAGCAAGGTTTATGCTGACAGATGGGATGGCGGAGCCACGTGTCAGGAGATGACTGGGAGTAGATGTGGGGCGCAGAGGGTATATAAGCATGTCTGCGCCCCCCATACGGGACACACGAACATTCCTGTAAGGGATTCTTACATTCAAACACTCATCTCTCTCTCTCTCTCTCTCTCTCTATATCCTAAGGTGTGTGCTAACTTGATCGTCGGAGGGTTTTTCCGGCCACACACCGCCGGGTAGCTCACTGTTATTTGCTCGCAGGTGATCAGATAGAAACGGAGCTCAGAAGAAAGGAGTACGGGCTTGCCGGAATATTTGCTCCCCGTACACCTTCCCTTAACATAAACCAACATATACCACAAGTTCAACTAAAAGTAACAACAATCAGTGAAATGAGCATCTTTCCAATTCTCACATTTTCCATTCACTATCCCATTAGTGGTTGTAAATTCCACTTCTCACTCCAAAAGTAAAATTCACAAGATGACCATGCATCCATTTAGATTCATCAAGAATAACTACATTTTAACAATAATAAATAAAACAACTAGTCCATATACCCCTCGCCATTTCTCCCTCATCAACATTGTTAAGAAAACCCTTTTTTTTTTCTTCATTTCATTTAACACACAAGAAAAACAATGCTAACATTGATAATAATAATAATATTTCATGGAATCCTCAACATGTTCTTCAACCCCAAATTTTTAGGGTTTTCTCCAAAATCAACATTCTCTCATCTTTTGAAAAGGTTTCACCCCAAAACATCACCTCTCTTACCATGTGATTTTAAACCCTCAAGAAAATAGTTTAGAGAGAGATATAGATTAAATCCACTTTTAAAACCCTCAACATTTATGAGACAAAAACCAAACTTTCAATATCATTAAAGAAACTTTTAAATCAACAAAATCTAGCATAAATATATATATATATATATAACTCAAAGAAATCTCCCTACCTTAAAGTTTGATGAAGAAAAGAAGATGAAACCCTAGATTTGATGGTGTTGAAAAGAGATCTCCACTGCACACAATGTAGCTCTTGAGGAGTTCTTAATCTTTGATGAAGGAGCTATGGTTGAATCTCAAATGGAGGGAAGATCATCAAGGTTTTTGATCTTGTTTTGAGGTAGAAGTATAGAGAGAAGGGAGAACAATATATTTTTAAAGAGAGGGAGATACATAAAAAGTGATACACACAGCCAAAAAGAGAAGAAAAAACAGAGCCCCTCGGATTCAGGCCCGTCCGCACTACACATGCGGAGCGTGCCTCCTACACGTGCGGGTCTAATCCCCGCACATGCGACTGCCTCCGTACCTTCCCCTTCGCACCTGCAATTTAGGCAGTGTGTATCCTCCCACAACTCACCTTTCCCCGCACGTGCAGCCCTGGCCCAGCAGCCCAGAATTTTTTGGTTAGACCCCCGGGCACTCCAAACTTGACCGTGCATCCTCCGAAACAATTGAAATTCAACACCGAACAAAAACAAGAACAAGAATTTTATTTGAGGAAAAACTTCTGGATATCACCATCCCAAGAAAGACAAAAGTGAAGTGAAGTAAAACAAAACCGGTCATCATAGTTGTGGTTTGTCATCAAGTCAT